CTTGTCCTGGAGCTTGGAACCCTTCAACTTGCTCCATATATATATATATATCTTCTTTTGATTACAACCTCTCACTACAATCCGAGCTTTGTATCTCGGCTTCTGGCCGTTCTCTTCATTCTGGATTTTGTAAACCCACTTGTTTTTTAGAGCTCATCTTCCTTCAGGAAACTCGGTTAGTTCATAAGTCTGATTTTCATGCAGAGACTTCACCTCGTCTTGCATTGCCTTTTCCCATTATTTCTTCTCTGAGCTCGTCACAACCTCATCATAACTCTGAGACTCACCGTCTTCAGCAACAACAGTGTATTCATCAGGTGGGTACCTTGTAGAGGGTCTTCTTTCTCGAGTTGGATATCTCGGCTGTTCTTCAGCTTGAGAACCCGGTTCATCATTCTCATCCCGGATCTCATCATCAACTCGGAACTCAATATCTTGGTCATCATCAGCTTGTTGCTGGTCATCATTTTCTTCATTCTCTTGATTTTCCCCCCTGCTTCAGCTCGGACAAGAGGGATGGATTCTTCACGTCTTACAGTAACCCGGACTTTGGACTTCGAGATGTCATGAATGGTTTCATCTTCATGAAAGATCACATCTCAGCTTCTCACTATCTTCTTGTTGATTGGATCCCAAAATCGAAAACCAAACTCAAATTTTGGTCAACCAAGATAAATACATTCCTTTGTCTTTGCATCGAGCTTCGCCCTTTCATCTTTAGGGATATGCACAAAAGCTCGGCATCCAAACACCTTCAGGTGATCATAGGTCGCTTTTCGACCTTTCCAGACTTCCTCTGGAATTCCTCCTTCTAGTGGTCGTGATGGTGAGAGGTTGATCAGGTCAACCGCAGTTCTGACGGCTTCTCCCCAGAATGATTTCGGCAATCCGGCATTGGACAACACACTTCGAACATTCTCTTCAATTATCTGATTCATTCTTTCAGCAAGTTCATTCATCGCGGAGTCTTGGAGGGCGTCTTCTCAAGTCGAATCCCGGCGGCTCTACAGTAAGCATCAAATGGACCGCAGTACTCACCACCATTGTCAGATCAGACCACTTTCATCTTCTTGCCTGTCTCTCTTTCCACCATAGCATGAAACTCTTTAAAGGATTGGAGTACCTAGTCTTTAGATTTCAACAAATAAACCCACACTTTGCGAGAGTGGTCATCAATGAATGAAACAAAGTACTGAGCTCCTCCAAGGGATCTCTCCGACATAGAGCAAACATCGATATGGACGAGGTCAAGAATATACCTGTGTCGCCTGGGTTGGTCCGATTTCATAAATGAACTCGCTGCTGCTTTCCAGCTCGGTAGTGCGTGCAACTCTCCAACACTTAGCCTTTCAACCCGGTCAATAATCTTTTCTTGTTCAGGATTTGGAGCCCTATCACACTCATATAACTGAGGCGCTTGTGCCACAACTCCAAGTTATGTCCATCTCGAACAGAATTGGTGTCTCCACCATTTATCTTTCTTTACATCATATACAAGGAGCCTTCCTTTTTACCTCGTTCAACAACCAAGTTTCCGTTAGCCAACTTCCATCTACCACTAGCAAAGTAGTTCACTAACCCGGAATCGTCAAGCTTGCCTATCAAGATTAGGTTCAATCGCATGTCAGGAATATGCCTTACATCTTTCAACATAAGTCGGCATTCGATATCCATGGTCAGAGTTACATCACCGACACCAACAATCTTGCTGGTCACCTGATTTCCCATCTTCACGACTCCAAAATAACCACCTCAGTAAGAGGAGAAAAATTCTTTGTGTGGAGTAACGTGGAAGGAGGCACCAGAGTCAAAAATCCAGGTGCAGTCATCATATGCAACATTCAAATAATTATCTTCTCTGAGGAGAAATATCTAGGCATCTGAGTTGGCAGTTACCGCAGTGGTGCTCTTGTCTTCCCTCTTCTTGGGAATAATCTGATCCGACTTCACAGAGCCATTCTTCTAATCATTCTGCGGAGTCCTGTAGTCTGGCTTCTTATGTCCTGGCTTCCCACAATAGAAGCATTTCAACTCATATTTTGGCCTAGACCGGCCTCTGGACTTTTCTTGTATGTCACGACTCCAGCTCTTACTACGACCTTGGGAGTCGGACTTTCCTTTGTTCTCAGCAACATTTGCATCAGATGTGCTGGTTATACCTCATTCCCTTCTCCTGGTTTCTTCATTCAGGAGGCTGTCTGTCATGGCATCCATCTTCAGTTTTCTTTCTGGAGCCGAATTACTCAAAGTCACCACCAGAGTATCCCAGTTTTCTAGTAGCGAGCTCAACAGCAGCAAAGCCTGCATCTCGTCATCAATTTTCATCTCAGCTTTTGACAGCTAATTCACAATTCCTTTGTAGGTGTTGAGGTGTTCAATCATGCTCATGACGTCCTTGTATTTCCACTTCACAAGTCGGCGAACCAATTGTGCTTTGTTCCTGAGAGTCTTCTTCTGAATCATGGACTCCAATTTGTTCCATAATTCGTACGCGTTCGTGAACTCGGACACGTTCTCAAAGAGGCTTTTGTCTATGTATTTCTTGATTGTAGCTACCGTCTTACGATTCAGGATCTCTCACTCCTTATCGGTTTTGCCTACCGGTCTCTCATCAAGAATAATGGGCTCATGTAAATCTTTGTAGTAGAGATGATCTTCCATCATCGGTCTCCAATAAGTGAAATCGTCTACGGTTAGCTTGAACATATCTCCGTCATGAGTTATACCACTGGTCTCCATCTTGTCTCCCTTAGAACCTGTCGAACCCGAGCTCTGATACCACTATTGGGTCAAGTCGGACACTCAAGTCAATTGCGGAAGCAAAACAGTAAAATGCAAGAGTAGAGAGATGGAGAAGAACACAGTCAATTTGTTTAACGTGGAAAAATCTTCTCCAATGTGAAGAAGTAAAAACCCATGGGATACTAGTCGAGAATCAAACTTCCATTAAGAATAATGGGTTACAAGATTCAAACATTCCTAATCTTTCACTAGAGGTACAATCAAACTTCACCTACAAATGGTGGTAATATTAAACTTTCCTAAAGAGGTCTCCTTCAAACTTCTCTCTAGAGGTATTCAATTTTTTTTCATATCTCTAAACCTCACACACTATAAGCTTATATAGGGGAGGGAGATGATTCTAGACATTGAATCACTCAAAGGATGTTCCCTTGAGCCTTGCACCTTCATTTATGGAAAGACATTGAATACTCAAAGGATATGACCTTTGAGCCTTGCACCAAAAATGGAGAGTTCCAACCTCTTGGGACTTGAGCCAAGCATTGAAGAAGGAACAACTCCCTACAAGATTAAATGCCTAATTGGGTTGAAATTGTTCTTTATATGGTATCAGAACTTCCTTGACCACAAGGTCTTGAATTCGATCTTCACTATCTCCATTTTCTGGTGGAATTAAAATAAATATAAGGTAAATAAAAAATTGAGACTGTCATAAGTTTGATCCTCACCGTCTCATTTTCTAGTGAAATTAAAATAAGTATAAAATAAAGCAAATTAAGTCCAAAAGACTTTTACGTGAAGGGGTGAGCTAGAAAATAATATAAATCATTAAAAAATTCTTTACTCAACACCTTAAATTTTGGATAGAAATAATTGATTGCGTTAGTTTTATTACGAATATGACAGTGAAACGATAACATTTGTGTTAAAGATATTCTTTTATGCTTCTTATTGAGAATCATATGTTGTCCAGAAAACTATTCCCTGCACAATAATTGCAGAGGCCAAATAAAACATGATAACTCTCTGCAGTGACAGTTGAAACCACGAAACACTTCCTAAACTCAACTCTTTTAAGAATTTTAAAAGGAAAAAACATTTTTGCAATTATTGCAAAAAAATATATCTGCCACACATTATATACTTCGGAGGGTATATAGTATAACTTTTGAAATAAACTCTATCTTTATTTAGATTTCAAAAATTACATTATGTACTCTCTAAATATGATAATATGTGGCAGACAGTTAAACCCATTTTAAAAGGACAATATACTTAATTGAAAAACGTATTTTGAATTCTAATTCTAAACCTATATTATAAAAAACACTTTAAAAAAAAAAAAAGACTTGAATGTAAATTTTTTAGAAAATAACATCATTCCAAAATGTCAAGATATAAATATTAAACCAACTATTAAGTCCCCCTTACAAAATACCACAACCAATTATCTCCTAGCTTATCTTTCATAAAGATACATAAGGCATCGGATACGAGTAAAGTTTTGTATGTAATTTCGAAGTTTCAGCCCTGAATGAGTGAATGGGTGGCAATTACTGCCCCTACTAGATTCTCATATTCGACTTTCTTGAACCCTGAAACTATAATCATGTTATACTTATAGATGGCTAGTACTGCTCCCTAAATTGTCATTTGATGATGCATTTAAGGTTAAATATTTCAGATTACTGACGTAGCTAGACAAGGCTTGTTCTTGGCGAAGACTCTATGCACTTTGAAACTAAATAACATTTAAAAGGCAATAAGAAGCCAAGTGCATAACTTAATTTGCAAGAAACAAGTTGATGACAGGCAATGAAGTAAAAAATTGTGCTTCAACAGCCGAAAGATAAAATAAAACAAGAAGAAACATCAATGGCTTTTCTAGCTTGCTCAAACACAAATAAGCAAAATAAATGACAGAAAAAGAAAGAGAGAGATTTTCTGAACCTTAAAATATCAAGAACATGCTTAAAAAAAGGATTTATTTATCAGGCTTACTAGATGAATTCACTCCGTAAAGCAGAAAGAGTGTTCGGCATTTGAGCTAAAAGAAGGAAGCTTTTAAAAGCCACTTTCAATAGGTCTCTAATTTGGGATATAATCAGGAAAAGCCACATAAAAGTGCTATCTGAGAGGGAATTGTAATGGCTATGAACCTCTAAGCTCTTTTCATGAAACTTAAAATCACCATAAAAAAATCTTTATCTCGTCAAATTTCTCATATGGCAAAATTCTGCACAGTACAAGTCTGATAATTCAGGGAAATTCCTAGTATAACAGACCCCTACTCTTCAATATAATCAAGAGGCTTGCTAATATTTTCATTGACACTACAATCTTCATTCAAGTGCTTTTTTTCTGTACAATCTGGAGTCCCATGATCTGAACTATGACTATGCAACATTGTTTTGACTCCGGTACGAGTCCTACCGCAAGCACTGAATATGTCTTTAAGTATCTGGGGCCTCTGGGCTTTTTTTCCTTTATGTCTCCTTGGTACATGCAAGAATTCATTTGCTAAAGATTCCAACGCTCTAACTGTCAATGGTCTGTTTCTTGTGCTCTGCCTCCTCGGAATTATATCATTTGGCTTCAGGTCCTGCTCATCTTCCTCCACCATTTCCATCATTTCACCATCTTCAGACTTCACTTGAACCTGAGGAGCATTGAAGTTGATCGGTGGTTGTGATTCACATTTCTCAACTTCATCACAAGAAATACCCTTGTCAACACACACTCCATTGGCAATGATCACTTCATTTTCATTATTCTCTTCCACACTTCCTTCAGCTGAAGAAGAAACTAAACTTACGTCTTGTTGATGACTGACTGGATCACCAACATTCATGTTAGCATCCGCAAAGCAAGATGAATGAGAGAGTCCCAGTTTTTCTGATCCCAAGCCTCCCGAGGAATTCTGAAGAGCAGAAAGTCTCCGCCGTTTGATGGGAGGAATTGCAAGATTTGAATGAACTGATCTTGCTCTTCTACTGAATTGGTGCTTTATGGTTCTCTTTAGTTCATTTTCACAGTTTTCTGCCATCTTGTTTGCTTTATTATCTGGGTTACTGTTCAATTCTTTTTGGCTGGTAGTTTCTCTATTGTGTGTACCCTTCTGCCAATCAGCATTGCTAATATTCTTTTTGCTGTATACGAGCATAGTAGCTTCTATCTCACTTGGTGAATCGTCAACAAAAGAGCTCCTGGCACTTTCTCTTGCAATTCCAGTCATCTTAGTATCTTCCAATTCAACTGGTGGATATCTCAATTGCCTAACCTTAGTATCAACAACTATGAACTTTGTCAACTTTTGGTTGATGCTATCAAGCTTACCCTCGCTAGCTCGGGGTTTGAGGTAACAATGGTGATGATAATCAGATTGACCATCCTCATTGAATCCCTTTTCTGCCTCTTCATTATTGCAGCTACCAAGTTTAGCTTCTTCAACTTCAAGTTCAAGAAGACTTGGTTCAGCTACAACTTTTCTCAAGACATCACTAACAGAATCAAAGTAATGATCACCTTTCACAAGTTTTCTTCTTGAAAACTTCTCAACACCAGGGATAAGAAAAACCAAAAAACCTTTGGAGGTGACATATTCTTGATTCTTCACTTGTTCAGAGTGCCAACCTCTTGCCAGTAAGCGGGGCCAAACAGCTTCCCAGAAGAGATCATTACTTTTGGCCTTGCTCACTCGACGTCCTCCAGTTAAAATTTTTATTATATCACTAGGTCCGAGAGAAGACCAAGCTTTGCTAGTTTGTATTGAAAACAACCGGCTTTTCTTTCCAGGTTTCACAGCAAGGCTAGTAAGGTCTTCCTTCCCCTTACCAATACCTACAGCTTCCACAAGAACACCAAGTCCAACAATAGACTTCAAAGAACAGATATATTCTTCCAGAGAAGTTCTCCCCTCCACATATGACTTAGAAACCTGATTAGAGAAATAAGCAAAGTGAGGACTGAAGGGAACAAAAGTCCGTTGACCATAAAGATCCAAATAACATCATTGCTACATCGCAGTAGAAAATTAACTGGTAGATCAATTTTGCCTCAATAGCCATTTTATCTAACGTACAAAGCATGTAATGTTAAGGAAATAAATTACTTGGTAAATTACTGAAGTTTTAATCATTAGGAAAATGCAAAGTAGAATGGCCCATATTAAAAGGACCGATTTGATGCCTTATGCATATGAAGAGGTTAAAAACTTAAGTGCTTCCTGATCAAGTGGAATTGTGCCAGGATATCCCTTAAAAGTTTTTTGTAAAGCCTATCTAATAAATGAGTACTGCAGCTACTAGGTGAGGCCCTTATTGCTGATGGCTACTTTTCTAAATGGTCAATACACACAATGCAGATAAAAAATCACATAACTCCAAGAAAGGAGTTAAAAGAAGGCTATATTTAAAAATACAGGGGGAAAAAACCACTTTGCAACTTACAAAGGACTGAAACAGAGAAGTAACACAAGAGAATGAAGGATATGTTCGAGACACAAGCTATGCTAATCATCAGGCAGCTGAAACATACATATTGTAGTTCATTATCAACACTGGAGATAAGGGATTCTCAAAGATAGCATGGTTGAATACCTGTAGTAAAGTATCTTGAAATTCTTCAGAGACATGAGGAATCAAGCGAGACAATAGTTCATTCTGTTTCCTTCCAGTAAAAAGTTTATGTCCTGTTATACATTTTCTGCCTTTTATTTTCTTGCAGTCTGACCATCTCCGATATTCATCAGAATTATAAAACTTCCCATAGTAAAATGACAGTATTTCCCCCATCCCTTTGTTCTCTAAGAACCTTTTTATCTGAATGAAATTCTTCCCAAAGATAAACAAACCAAGGAGAAAACTTTTTACATCAGCATCACTCCAGGAGTTACTCAATGTACCAGGGGCCATTAGATAATTTTTACTTTTACGTAGTTGATCTACTGTCATCTCAGATTTAAAAGTGGTTGGTCTAAACCCTTTTCCATTATCTGATTTACTATTCTTTTTCACATCAGCTGCTTCTGTAGGTATACTTACATTGATTGCACCATCATTGTCTCCAAGATATCCCCCTCTTTCATGTCCACTATCCTCCAAGATATTCTTTTTTACAAAGCAATGTGAGTTATCATGCACAAGTTCTGAATAAGAAGGATTCATTAGAAGTTGAAGCCGCTCTGATTCTTTCATCATGGAAGGAACTTCCACCTGGTATTCATGACCAAGTCGAGAATTTAACTGCGGGGCTCCAACTGCGTCGCTTATGTCAGGAGAACTTGGGGGAATTAACTGCCTATTAGATGCATGCTCCATGAAATTATCATCTGCCAAACAAACTAGGCTCGTAAACTCATAACTATAACTCAATCAACGCTTGAGAATATTATAAAGAAAATGTTGATTGGATAACATGCTCAAGAACATACTTTAAACATGAGTTGAAACTTGGTATGCAAGTAATGTATAGGGAATCAGGGAATTCCACTAGTCACTCAGCAGCCATTTCATATTCTCTTCGCCAGTATTTATGTAAAGCATCATACTTATTGGAGGCATTCAGATTTGACAAACACTAGTATTCAAATATATAAGCTATTTTGCTAATCTTTTCCTTTGCTGTTTAAATTTTCAACCCCGAATATGCATATTAGCTATCTAACAAAATATTAGGATTTCCTTGTTTTCACCTTTAATTTTGTCAGCACTATCAAATTCTCTAAAAGTCAATCACTATCCATTAACTATATGAACTGCTCATTTGATTATTAAGAAAATCATAAATAACAAGAGTTTCCATTTTTATTGGGTATGAAGTTGTATCCTATACAAATATTAAAATACATAATAATTAATTGTCAAACCCCCAAAATCCAATCTGTGCTTGGCCACTGATGCATTTGGAGCTCACTGTACAGGACTAGAGTACAAAGGAGCAATTTTTGGGGAAGGAATTCTTTATTGGGAAGTAATTCCAAAAGTTGATTTTTTTTCTGCAACAAAGGTAATTAGAGCACAGCTCAAACTACAACGACAAATTGCTATTATGATAAAGCACCAGAATCCTGAACAATGGCTACCTAAAGCACTCACATAAAACCCCAAAAATTCTCTTTGCCAGAAAAGCAAAGCCAATTTGTCTACTCTACTCCTTCTCGAACACAACATTCTTCACAGGTGGACACAGCATCAGAATGATTACACCATAAAACGACCACTATATATTCGATCCAAGCAGGTAAATAAAATATACCCTTTGTGGAAAATGATCATCAACGCTAAGAATTTTGATTACCAACAAACTATAAAATAACCTACCCCATATCCATTTATATGTAAGTTCATAATCAAAGCTAACGAGTATGCTAGCAGATAAATTAGCAATATACAACAAACGGACTCAGACGTATATAACAAAGGAAAAGTATATGTAATCATGGAAACAAGAATATTATCCCAAAAATAAATAAATCATGGAAACAAGAAAATAACAAGAACATGACGCGATGATTGAGCACACTCCACATGATTACAACCATATAGTGCTAACAATTAACGAAAACATTAAGCACCAAGAAATATTTAAGGTTCTTTCTTGGTATCTTGTGTTATTATTATTATACACATAACACACAAAAAAAGTGAATATATAATCCACAATAGCAGCACATATACACACAATGGACAAAAAGATGATTGATGACATAGAAGGATGAACATTTGCCAATCTCCGTGCAAGTGTTGGAAACGTTAAAAGCATACATATACATATATAAGAAGATGAGTGCTGCATGTTATTTTGAGTTGATTTACATATATGTCTAAAAAAATGCAAGGATCATCAAACACATTGAAGCAAGAACTAAAAAACAAAAGCAAGAGTTAAAGAGGTAAAGGAAGAAAGATAGATAGAGAACCTGGTGGTAAAGCCGGGCTTCAATGGGAGAATTCGCTGGCTATGAGAGAAAGAGAAAGAGAGAGAGAAGAGAGAGAGGGAACGAAGAAAATAAAGGATTACTGATATAAGCTAGTTTTTAAACACGCTGAGTTACGTTAAGCAAGTGACTCGGCCGAGTTCATGAAATTGTAGTTGAGTTGACGTTATCAAAAAGTCCGGAGACTAAATCCAACGGCATATATATATATATTCCATTTTTTTCCATTATCAATTCATTACCTCTCTAATCATCGTCGGATCAACATTTAATATTATAACAGTAATAGTATGAATATATATAAAAAATAATAGTATGAATATCCTACCTTATATATATATATATATATATATATATATATATATATATATATATGTGTGTGTGTGTATATTGGTTCGCTTTTTTTGCAGTTACTACAGATAAGTTATCTGCAGTAAGCCTAATACGACATCATTTTGGGACGAAAATCATGGTGTCTTTGTAATTTTAATTTATTTCAGAGTTATTATAATATTTATAATTATAATTGTTTAATTTTTCAATCCCAAAACAACGTCGTTTTGGAAGCAAATACAGTTAACTTATCAGCATTAACTGCAGAAATATTTTTCTATATATATATATATATATATGAAAAAAAAGTATCTAATGTTAATTTAGACAATTTTGTCTAATATTTAGCAAAACGAGAAACGACGTCATTTTGGAATTGAAAAATTAAAAAATTAGAATGAGACTACTATAATCCTGAAATAAATTAAAATTACAAATACACTACGATTTCTGCAAAAAAAAAAAAAAAAAGTCGTTGTGGTGAACATTAGACAAAGTTGTCTAAAGTAACTTTAGAAAAAATAATTATGAGTTAAGGATTTCTCATGTCCCAGGAGAAGAATTTCTTCTGATGCTGACACAACAAACATGTCGATCCCTAGAGAAAAGAGAAAAAAAAATTCAATGGAATCAACATATTTGTTGTGTCAACAACAAATGAAAATTTTCTCCCAAGGTAGAAATCAATAATACATATACGGAAATACTATTCTTCTGCCACAGCACAGTGAATAGTATTTCCTGCTTAGACATTAAAAATTGGATTTTTTTTCTTTTTTTTTTTTGTTTTAAAAAATAATGGGATCCGCTAATATCTGAGTGTGTAGGAAAATTAATTTACCCACTGTCACATAAGAAAACTAAACCCCATACATATATGGGGCATTTTTTTTTATATTAGTGTAAGACTAACAAGTAACAAATCTTACACCACACCTTAACCGTTGATGAACGAAAAGCATCGATTAGTATTTGTAGTGTAATTAATATTTAATTAATATTACTTAATTCGTATAACTTCCTAAATTATAACCATCGGATGCACGAGAATCAACAGTTGAGATATGGTGTAAGACTTATTAGTGTTACACTGGTGTAAAATGATCTTGATCATATATATATATGGAATAAGTTATTCTACCTACTCCCATTTTGCCTACCTTTGCCTACCCCTTCTATTATCGTTCGATTACAATATAATCCAAAAGTCCATATTTGCGAAATAAAATAAACCTTTTTTCCCCTTTTTTTTCTCCCACTTCCTCTCACGTCCTTTCTCTCTCCTCCCCTTTCTCTCTTCCTTTACACTTCCATGAATTCTGATCTGTTCTTCTTTAATTTATCAATCGGTATTACCGGTTACTACGACAATTGCATACTAAACTTGTTTCATCGTTATAGATCTATTGAACAAAAAGGGCAGAATCGTTTTCCACGTCAAATGTATTGTCATTTGTAGGTGAAAGAGGTTCATGTTTTATTTTTATTAAATAATCTTTTAAAAAAATTCTCATACAATCCAACAACAAAAGTAATGGGTTTGTTTCCTATGACTCTTGTTACTGGTATGATTCGATGTGAAATTCCCAGAATTTTTTTCATTCGTAATATGTTTTGATTTTTGAAAAAAATTGAGTGTTGGACAATGAGATTTTTGAGTTTTTGGAGAAAGTGAGGTTTTTTCAAATGATGATCATTGATGGTATGTGTTTTTCGTTTTTCTTCTTGGTCATCGACAAAAAGAAAGGATGTGGGAGGAAGTGAGGAGAAAGTAAAGGGGGAAAAGGTTTATTTTATTTCGCAAGTATGGACTGTTGGATTATATTGTAATCGGACGATAATGAGAGTAGGTAAAATAACTTATCCTTATAAATATAAATATATATATATATATATATATATATATATATATATATATATATATATATATATATATATATATATATATATATATATATATATATGGAGGGTTCTTTTAACTCCAGAGTAAGACTTTTAAGTCTTACTCTCCATCTCAGCCATTGATGAACGAAAATCAACGATTGTCATTTATAGTGTAATTAATAGTTAACTAATTAATATAATTTCTTAAACTATAACTGTTGGATGGACGGAAATCAACAGCTAAGATGGAGAGTAAGACTTATAAATCTTACTCTGGAGTCAAATGATCTCTCTCCTATATATATATATATATATATATATATATATATATATATATATTGGGCAAGATCATCTTACATCGGTGTAAGAATAATAAATCTTACACAAATCTTAACCATTGATTTTTTTGCATCTAACGGTTAAGTTTATTAGGTCTTACTCATTAATTAATTTTTAATTCTCAATAAATCGCAACCGTTAGATGCACTCAACGGTTAAGATTTAGTGTAAGAGTTATTATTCTTACACTGGTGTAAGTTGATCATCTCCCTCTATATATATATATATATATATATATGGGAAAAAAATTTCTCAAGCAGCTTGAGATAAATTTATCTCCGGCTATCCCAAAACTACGTCATTTTATTTATTTATTTTCTTATATCAATTGATTCACCTTTGAATAGTTATGATTCCCTTTTTTTCTCTATTTCTTTATCACCATTGATCCATCTTTGTACGATTATGATTTAGTAGCCGGAGATAAGATTATCTCAATCAGTTGAGAAACGATAAGCCCTATATATTTATATATATATATATATATATATATATATATAAATATCAAAAACTTGATAGCGACTCGGCAAGTGCACCGATCGTGAAAGTAATAAAATATACTGAGTACGAGATCGTTCCCACGAGGATCAAAATTTTCAAGCACTAGTTCGCTAATCGTGTTTTAGTTGGACAATCAAAGGTTTGGTTTGAGAGAATTTAGATGAAAAGAGTCGTGGTTCAAAGAACTTAAAATTAAAAACAAGTAAAGACATGCAATATGAAAATTCAGAATTTAAAAGAATGAATGAAGATGATGTTTGATTACGATTTAAAACAAGCTTAGTTAAGGTTTCGACTTCCCCCAATATCCTCAATATGTTATGA